GATTAGTGAACTATAGGATATAACAATAGAAACTATCCGAATTGAAACAGGAAAAATATCCAAGGAAAAGAGGAAAAATGAGTTTCAGTGAGCTACGAGACAAATACAAGTGACCTACTATATGTAATTATAAGTGGAGTTCCCAGAGGAGAGGAGAGAGAAGGAACACAAAAAGTACGTGAATAAGTAATTGCCGATAATTTTACAAATTTGATTAAAACTATAAACCCACAGATCCAAGAAACTGAAACATAGAAACATGAAAAAATTACACCAAGGTGCATCATAATCAAATTTCTCAAAAGTAGTGATTAAGAGAAAACGTTAAAAACAGCCAGAAAAAAAAGACACATTACAGATGGAGAAATGAAGATAATGATGACAGATTTCTCAGCAGAAACAGTGAGAGAAGAGAGTGAAGTAACATCTTCAAAGTATTGAAAGAAAAAACTTTCAACTGAGTATTTGAGAATTTTATACCTCACAAAAATAACTTTTAAAAACAAAGGTGAAATAAAGATATTTTCAGACCTACAAATGCTGAAAGAATTCATCAACAGCAAACCCACAGTATAAGAAATGTTAAAGGGTATCCTTTAGGCAGAAGGAAAATGATACCAAGTAGAAATGTGGATGTACACAAGGAAATGAGCACTGAAAATTTACATGGGCAAATATTCAAGATTTTTCTTATTATTTAAATCTACTTAAGAGATATGGACTATTCAAACAAAAATAAAATATATTGTGGAATTTATAACTTAGGTATAAAGTAAAATAAAAGACAATCATAGCACAAAGGCCAGGAGGAGAAATGGGACTGTACTAGTGTAGGGTTCTTATACAATACTATATGTGGCATGACACAACTACTTGAAGATAGACTGTGGTAAGTTAAAGTTGTAGACTGTGAACCCTAAATTAACCACTAAAATAACAAAACAAAGAGTTACAGCTAATACATCAAGAAAGATAAAAGAGAATCATTAAAAAACTCAATCCAAAAGAAGGCAGAAAAAGAGGAAAAGGGGGACAAAGAACAATTGGGATAAATATAAAACACAAAGCAAGATAACAGACTTAAGTCTAATCCTATGAATAATCACAATAAATGTAAATGGACTGATAAGAACCTGCTGTATAAAAAAATAAATAAAATTCAAAAATTCAAAAAAAAGTAAATGGACTGAACATCCTAATCAAAAGACAGATACTATCAAAAGGGATAAAAAAGCAAGACCAACTACATACTTCCTACAATAAATGTACTTTATATATAATGAGATCGTTTAAAAGTAAAAGGATGGAAAATGCCCTGCTAACGCTAGTCAAAAGAAAACTGCAGTGGCTATTTTAACATTAATATTAAATTACATTTTTATTAATTTTATTATTTCTAAAATTATCTTTGATGTATTTTGTTAATTATTTTTAAATTAATATTTTAATATTAGACAAAATATATTTCAGATCAAATAAATATTACCAGGTATAAAAAGGGCATGTCATAGAAATAAAAGGGTAAATTCATCAGGCGGACAAAATTCTTAATGTTTCTGCTCCTTATAAAAGAGCAAAAACTACAAGGATATAGAAGAGGTAGAACTGTAAGGAGACAAAGAAAATTCCACAGTTGTGCTGCAGACTTCAATACCCTTCTCTCAACAATGGACTGAACAATCAGACAGAAAATCAGCAGGGATATAGTAGACTCGGACAGCACGGTCAACCAACTTGATCTAATAGGTATTTACAAAACATTCCACCCACATTAACAGAATGAACATTCTTTTCAAGTGCACATGGAACAGTTACCAAGATAGACCATTTTCTGGGCAAGAAAACAAGTCTGAATGAATTTAAAAGGATTCAAGCCATGCAGAGTATATCCTTTGACCACAGTGAAATTACATTAGAAATCAGTAACAGTTAGATAACTGGAAAATCACCAATTACTTGGAAACTAAGTAACAAACTTCTAAATAGCCCATGGGTCAAAGAAGACATACTAGAAAAGATTCTGAACTAAATGAAAGTGAAATACAACATACCAGAATTTACTGAATGCCAGAAAGCAGTACCTGGGATTAAATTTATATCACTGAATGCCTATATCAGGTGATGGAAGAAATTTTCACCTATTGAGGTTTGGAGAAGTCATCCTGGCTTACACATGATCTGGCTTGAACTTTATGCTAACTAGCACAGCCTCTCTTATGGCCTGTCAAATAGGCATTGTACATCTGCTTAAACAGTACAGAAAAGAATGCATTTAGAAATCAAAATGGGGCAACTGTGGTTCAGGCATCCAGGATGAAGTTGGGTGGCCAGTGTGGATGTGGTTTCAGACACATTCCTACATCACTGAGAATATGAATTTCCTGAACTGGATAAAGCTCCAGGACACCACCAGCCATTCTCAAAACCATATCTGCTAGCAGCTGCCAGCTGCAACCTTATGGTCTCAAGGTCCCCCCCAACCCCTGCTTGTAACTATGCAACCATCTCAGACCCCAACTAATCCATGCTTAACAAGCACCCTTACTTCTTGCCACATCCAATTATAATTCCCTATAGACAACTCATGCAACTAACTGTAACCTTGAGTTTTTTGCCTTCATATACCTCCCCCATTTTGTAGTCTGAGAGAACACAACTTAAGTGCTTCTTGAATCTGTGTCTCCTGGGCTACAGTCCTCAGTTTGGGTCAAACAAAACTCTTTTCTATCTTATTTTAGATTGTTAATTAATTATTTCCATTGACATCAGGAAAGAAGAAAGATGGTCCCAACTCCAAAAGGGACATGGAGAAACAGGGCATTTATTTTAAAATAACTCACAGGGATGTAATGTGCAGCACAGGAAATATAGTCAATAATATTGTGATAACGCTGTATGGTGTGTAATGTTAAAATATCAAATCACTATGTAGTACACCTAAAACTAATATAATATTGCAAGTTAACTATACTTCAATTTTTAAAAAAGGTGAAACAGGACCCTGTCAGAGGAACTGCAGGGATTCCACGAGCTGTTGCTGAGAGAGAAAAGCGAGAGGCAGAAAAATAAAATTCTAATTCTGTAAAATAAGAATGACAAAGTCATTTTGTGTCTCTGTATATCTATCTATCTATCTATCTATCTATATATATAGATAGATAGATATGGGTCTGTATAAGATTTTATTATAAATCTGGAGGAAAATACGGATGTACACTCTATAGGCTGCTAACATGAGCTTCCAATGGCACTGGGCCTGAGGGTAAGGGGCTGAGATATGGATGTGGTGAGGGAGTGTCTGCAATAAAAAAACATGTATGATATAATCCCAGTCATGTAAATGTGAGTGCACGCACATACGTGTGTGCATAAAGAAATAGAGTATGGTCACTAAAATGTTAATGATGTGGCATTTCAGGTGACTTTTACTTTGTTATTTATATTTTTATCTATTGTTTGAAGTCTTTAGAATTATATATTATTTGTATAATGAAAAAGCCATTTTAAGTATAGCAAACATTATATATTTTAAAAATTAAGGGGCAAAAGAAAAATGGAGAAAAACAACTCAGTATTTTACAAAGGGTTGATCTTTATTATATAAAGAGCTTTTCCATACCTATAGAAAAAAATATACATCCTCCAGAGACATGTGCAAAATGACATGAACAGACAACTCACAGAAGAATAACTTTTATATAGTCAACCTCACTTAATGTTTAAAGGAACAGATATTTAAAGATCAAGCCATGAACTAGTAATCAAAATGAAGACTCCCTGTACTGGCAAGGATGTAGGGAACCAAACATTTTACAAATTGATTGGGAACGTAAAACTTTTTTTTCTCTGGAGGACAATTTGGCAACGCAAAGCCTTAAAAATACACATATACTTTGACTCAGAAGGTCCATCTCCAGGAATTTATGCTATGGAAATCAACAGAAAAACATACCAAAAATATTTGTACAAGTAAGTTTATGGCACATATAAAATAATTAAAACTGAAAACGATCTAAATGACCCTCAATAGGGACAGCCACTAAGTAGAGTACAATGCAGCTGTTAAAATGATGATGTACACTTTGAGTCAAAGGTGGGGGCCAAATGCACACATGATGTTTATCTCCTTTTTCAAAAAATTCAATTGAAATAACAGAAAAATAAATAAGTAAAACTACAGCATCCCAGAAAACCTGGGAGGAGTGCTACCCGCAAGCCCGAGACGTGAGAAATTTCTGGAAGAGAATAAAGCTCAGCAAGAGATAATCAGAGAGGACACAGGTTCGAGCCCTGGTCTGGGAAGATCCCACATGCCGCAGAGCAACTAAGCTTGTGAGCTGCAGCTACTGAGCCCGTGTTCCACAACTACTGAAGCCTATGCACCTAGAGCCCGTGCTCTGCAACAAGAGAAGCCACCGCAATGAGAAGCCTGCACACCACAATGAAGAGTGGCCCCCGCTCGCCACAACTAGAGAAAGCCCGCGCAGCAACAAAGACCCAACGCAGCCAAAAAAAAAAAGAGAGATAATCTGGGGAAGCCACCTATCCAGTACAAATCTGAAAATGAAGAATGGGGTGGGAAGAGGTGTCTGTCCCTCCTGCCCTCAGCACCAGAGTGCGTGACTCTCTGGATGTGAAGACCCCCCCACTAACTCAACACTTCACACGTGTAGTGTCCTGATCCCCCACTAAGTGCCCAAAACATAGTATGTGCTACTAGAGAATGGACTTGAGGACACGGGGAGAGGGAAGGGTAAGCTGGGACAAAGTGAGAGAGTGACATGGACGTCTATACACTACCATAAAAATTTTTTTTAAAAACCACAAAAAAAACCATAGTATGTGCTAAATGAACATTGGCTGAATTAATAACAGAAAAAACTCCACAGCCTATCAGTATGGGGTCTCCTTTTACAAACAAAAAGTGCACAGACAAACACACATCTAGGCAAAACTGCAGTCCCGACACAGAAACAGGCATTTAACAAGAGCTAACTTACAGGATGCTTGGCTGACAGTCTTCCGGTCACGGTTCCAGTCTGGTTCCACGTGGAGGAAACGGAGCCCTTTATCAGTTGGAAAGAATCAGCTTATGCTCTGACAGTGCCGTGCGAAGTCACAAACACGCTGGCCCCTTCAGCACACAACGCTCACTGCTCCGTCCAGAGAACCAGGAGCCACGGGCCCTACACTCCCAACCCAACGTCCGTGGGGTTACAAATTCCTGCATGTGATCAGGGTGAAGGAGATTCTCCCCCAGGCTATGCAGAAGCTGCAGTAGGACACGTGGGCTGACGTGCCATGGGGGTCGCAGCGTGGACTCAAGGTGGGGCTGTGCACCCCAGACCGGGGCTGTCACTTGCTGTGTGGCCGCAGACAAGTCACAGAACACCTCTGACTGCAGACTCCTTGTGCATGAACTAAAACAACATGTCCCTCAAATGACTATGGAAAAGAGATGCAATAACAGATGTGAAAGCACGTGGTCAGCAGTAGAGCTTCCACATGAATATGAGATTTTAAGGTATAATGTCAACTTATGCTATAGACCTAAATGATAACAAAATCATGGTTCATAGTTTCAAGAATATTAGATTATTTAAAGAAATTCTACATGTATCTGAACCCATGTGTAAGCCATATTCCCAATCATGATATCTTTTTTCTTAGCTTTAGTTACCTTTTTCATGCAAGCTAGTAATCCATCTACAAAGGTTGACTTGATCTTGTGAACCTAGATTACAAGACAAAAGTAATCACTTTCTGTGTTTAAGTGTTTAAATTAGGAACAAGTGTCAAAGCAGCGTCTCACAGAGTGCTGGGCATGTGTCACTGATGTCACCTCAGGTGACTCCAGGAGGCCCTGAAATGGCCTTATGTGGTGCCCAGAATTAAATAACAATGACCAACAGAGAAAGACGTCACCCTATCCCTTTTAAAATAAACTTTGTCCTGGAATAATTCTTTTTAGAGAAAAGTTGCAAAGATATAGGGAGAGTTCCCGAGTCCCAGCACCCAGTGTCCCCCGTGGGGCCTCTTTCAGTTCAGGTGCTACCATTTACCCACCACCACCCCCCCCAACCCCACGCACACACAGCTGCCCAGCCCTAACAAGGACAGCAGTAAATAACGATGGTCCGAGCAGCAGCAAGTCATACCTGTGAACAGATGGCAGGTATGTGAACGGGGAAAAGAGGAGGAGCTAGAAGCGTAGCTAGAGAGAGGGGCATGACCATAAGTCAGTAAGTGTCAATGCGAGACGATAAAACACCACCAGGCCGGGAGAGGGAGGAGGCTTGTGTGACAGGCTTCTGAACTCGGCACTGATGGGAGCCGAAGTCACACTGTGGCCACATGAGGATGACACACCAAATACTTCCTTCAGAATTTTTGTTTGTCCTCTTCCATTTACGACTCCTCTGATTCACAGCAGGGCTGTTTGTAGACCTGAGGAATATCATGCCTGGGTACAAGAAGCAGTGCTAATATGAGGTCCACGTGAACAAACTGCATTCCCTTTAGGACACTGTCAGGGCTACTTCAGCGATGATGGATTTTGTGAACAGAGACGGTGCCATATGGGCCCCCTTCATTACCAACTTACTGACCAAAAAAAAAAAAATCTAACTTACCTGCCTATATTCCAAAATTATTTTGGGTAATGGATGAAGGTCTTGCAGAGTGTTTAACTAAAAAATAAGAATAAATATCACCAATATAATTCCTTCATTTAATTTTAACATTCCAAACACTTATTTTCAGCTGGAAAAGTCCTAATAATAAATGGTCTATCTTGAGCATATTTTCCAAAATGAAGACTCATAATAAACTCAGTTTATCAAGTGTCTTAATTTTAATCCCTTACAGAATCATTATTGTACACTTGGGAGCTAAAGGCACTTCACATGAGCTCGGAAATAAGATTCCTCTTGAGATTTAAATTCCTGAAATCTAAATCCAGGGCATGTAAAACACCATGTAGGACAGTAAACTAGGAAAATGCCTACAAATGTGTAACTCAATAGTTTAGGAACCCCAACATCTGAATCACAGTTATCGAGCACAAAGTCAGGAAGGTAACACTGGAATATGACTATGGGTTTTAAATTTAATTTTAAAAAGTCAAAATACAACGTACATAAAGCACAAGATCATGTAAACACGGTTTGTTAAATTATCACAAAATGAACACACCTGGGTACTGCCACCCAGAGGGAACATCCCAGGTTCCCAGGCAGGCCTCTGGCCCTCCCCCAGAGGTAACCAGCCCCCTGGCCTCCACCAGCAAGACCACTTATTCCAGTTTTTTGTTTGTTTGTTTTTTGTTTTGCAGTACGCGGGCCTCTCACTGTTGTGGCCTCTCCCGTTGCGGAGCACAGGCTCCGGACGCGCAGGCTCAGCGGCCATGGCTCACGGGCCCAGCCGCTCCGCGGCACGTGGGATCCTCCCAGACCAGGGCACGAACCCGTGTCCCCTGCATTGGCAGGCGGACTCTCAACCACTGCGCCACCAGGGAAGCCCTTCTTCCAGTTTTTGAGCTTTGTATCAATGGAATAGGATAGGTACTCTTTGTGTGTGGCTTCTTTCGTTCAACATTCTGGTTTTAAGGTTGGTCCTTGTTGTATGATTTACTTGCACTGCTGTATGGAATTATTTGAATGCAGGACAGTTATTTACCCATTCCACCCCTGATGGACATGTGCGCTGTTTCCACTGCAGGGCTATTACAAAGAGTGCTGCTGTGAACATTCTGGTGCACAGATTTTGGTTAACACACGTCCACGGTTCTGTTGAACATGTACGGAAAGAGGAGAGAGGCGCTGGGTCACCTGTAGCAGAGCTGATACCAGCCAGTTCTCCAAGGTAAACACAATGGATTTTGTCCCCATCAGCAGCACATGAAAGGTCTCCTTGTTCCACATCTTCGCCAACACATGTTCTCCTAGGTCTTAATTTTAGCCATTCTGGCAAATGTGAAGTGACATTTCAATGTAGTTTTAGTGTGTATTTCCCTGACTAATAAAGTCAGACATGATTCAAATGTTTATTGACCAATTGTATATCTCCTTTCATTAAACCCTGTTCATGTTTTTGTCATTTAAAACGTTGGTTTGTATGTCTTTTTCTTCTTGATGTGTAGGAATTCATTTTTCTGGACAGGGCTTTCTTTAGTTGGCTATATTTAGTGGAAATATCTTCTACCCCTCTGTGGCTTGGTCTTTTATTTGTTTAATAGTGTCTTTTTATTTATTTATTTTTTAAAATTTTATTTACTTTTGGCTGCATTGGGTCTTTGTTGCTGCACAAGGGCTTTCTCTAGTTGGGGCGAGCGGGGGCTACTCTTCGTTGCAGGTGTGCGGGCTTCTCATTGCGGTGGCTTTTCTTGTTGTGGAGCACGGGCTCTAGGCACTCAGGCTTCAGCAGTTGTGGCGCACAGGCTCAGTAGTTGTGGCTCGTGGGCTGTAGCGTGCAGGCTCAGTAGTTGTGGTGCACAGGTTTAGTTGCTCTGCGGAATGTGGGATCTTCCCGGACCAGGGATCGAACCCGTGTTCCCTGCATTGGCAGGCAGATTCATAACCACTGCGCTACCAGGGAAGTCCAATAGTGTCTTTTCATAAATGGAAATTCTTAATTTTACTATTGCCCAATTGATCAATCTCTTCCTTTATGGCTGATGCATCTTGTGTCCTGTTTAAGGATGTTTAACTACCTCAAGGCCTTGAAGATATTCTCTTATGGTATCTTCTACAATCTTTGTTTTACTTTTTATATTTAGATATACAATTCATTTGAAATTTATTTTTGTATATGGTGTGAAACAGGGGTCAAGATGTACTGGCCCCTTATGTAATGAGCCCTCCCTCTCAGAGAACATGCACTTTATACACACATGTGCAGGTCTGTTTGTAGATTCCCTATCCTGGACCATTTGTCTATTTGCTTATCCTTGAATTGACACTACTTCGTACTGATTAATTAATTCCTCATAATTTCTATTGCTTCATGATTAGTCTTGATATCCAACAGACTAAGTCCTTCAATAGTGCTTTTTCCCAAGACTATCTTGGCTTTTCTTAGTTGTTTGCACTTCCCTACAAATTTGGGATCATTCTGAATCTAAAAATCAACTTGGGGGAGAACTGATGACATAACTTTAATGTACTAGCATTAGCCACGGAACTGCATCACTCTCTATTTAATAGACTGAGGTCACGGAGTCTTGGCCAGCCATAGAACATAAACAGGAGGGCCAACACTGGTGTCCTTGGAGCAGGGCTCTACCCAGGGGGAGGACTCCTGCCCTGGTGTAATCCAGAACTGCAGTTTCTCAGAAAAGCTATCCCTAGCGGGATGAAAGTGCATGAAAATACTTAGCCAAGAAAACTGCTTAAGATCAACTAACTCTCTTTATCCTGATACCTTACTCACGAAATAACTTTCTAACCACAGTCTCCCTGTATATCTCGAATCGAGCTGTCTGAGAACACTTGAAAAGGATGAAGTGTTTGATCTCATAACGCTTTGGATAAAGCCCTGCCGCGCTGGTTCATGATCAGAGGCGGAGTGCCGTGGCCGTTGCCGCTCTACAAGCCTTATCAAACGCTCCCTCTGTTGGCTCCTGACCCCACATTCTTCTCAGCTCCCTTCTCTCTCTGTGGTCGTTCCATAGCCTCTGCTCGGCACCTCTTCTCTCTCTGACCCCTAAATGTCAGTTTCTCAGAGTTCAGTTCTGTGGTTATCAGTGCTGGCTGCTTCTAGAATCAGCGGGGGAGCTTCAAAAACATGTCTGGGGCTTCCCTGGTGGCGCAGTGGTTAAGAATCTGCCTGCCAATGCAGGGAACACAGGTTCGAGCCCTGGTCCCGGAAGATCCCACATGCCATGGAGCAACTAAGCCCGTGTGCCACAACTACTGAGCCTGTGCTCTAGAGCCCATGAGCCACAACTGCTAAAGCCCTCGCGCACCATAACTGCTGAAGGCCACATGCCTAGAGCCCGTGCTCTGCAATGAGAAGCCACCAAGATGACAAGCCCACGCACCACAACGAAGAGTAGCCCCCGCTCACCGCAACTAGAGAAAGCCCACGTGCAGCAACAAAGACCCAACTCAGCAATAAATAAATAAATAGATAGATAGATAGATAAATAAGACATTATTAAGCAAGACTAATCCATAAAAAAAAAAAATGTCCGGGCTGGGCCACGCAGCCCACAGACTCTGATTTTGTGGATCAGTTGTGGGCCTGGGCATGAGCGTTTTTCCGAAGCTCCTGCCAGGGTAGAGGACGACCATCCCAGGGCCAACTACTTCCAGGTGTGCATCTCTAACACAGGACTTCTCCTCACAGACCCAACTGCTCTGTATTGATGTTTTGTGCACACATCTGTCTTCACATGTCCAAGGCTGAACACTTGACCCCCAGCCCCCGTAAACTGTTCCTCTCTTGGTTTTCTCTGGGCAGCGGCCATGGCTATCTGCTCAGGTGCACAACTAAGGAAACCAGGAGTCACTCTGCATTCACACTCATGTGAACTCACACTCAGAGAAGCTCCTTCCTGTTCTCAAAATGCTCTGAGCATGTGTTTGCTCTGCTCCATCCTCACTGCCATCGCCTGGACACTGAGCCAGCAGTGCCCACGCTGCAGCAACAGCCTATTAATGGGACTCCTCCATTCTCCAACCAGTGACGAGAGTGGTCTTTTTAAAACATAGCTAACGCCTGTCAGAATGGCCACAATCCAGGACACCGACACCACCACGTGCTGGCGAGGGTGTGGAGCAACAGGAACCCTCGTCACTGCCGGTGGGAACCAGAATGGTGCAGCCACACTGGAGGACAGTTTGGTGGTTTCTTACAAAACTAAATATACTTTTACCATACAATCCAGAAATCAGGCTATTTATTTACTCAAATAAGATGGAAACTTATGTCCACGTGAAAACCTGAACACAAATGTTTTACAGCAGTTTCATTCATAGCTGCTAAAACTTGGAAGCACCCAAGATGTCCTTCAATAGGTAAATAGATAAATAAAACTGTGGTTCATCCAGACAATGGAATATGATTCTGTGCTAGAAAGAAATGAGCTGTGAAAAGACGTGGAAGAAACTTAAGTGCATATTGCTAGCTGAATCAAATCTGAAAAGGCTACATAATGTATAATTCCTATATGACATTCTGGAAAAGACAAAACTATGGAAACAGTAAAAACAGTGGTTGCCAGGGGTTGAGGGGAGAGATGAGTAGGGAGAACAGAGGCTTTTTAGGGCAGTGAAACCACTCTGTTCGATACTCTAATGGTGGATACGTGTCATTACACATTTGTCCAAACCCACAGCCTGTATAACACCAAGAAGGAACCCTAATGCACACTACAGACTTTGGGCAATGATGATGCGTCAGCGTGGGTTCATCAGCTGTAACAAATGTAGCCCCTGGTGGGGCATGTTGATGGTGGAGGAGGCTGTGTGTGTTTGGGCTGGGGAGGGGGTATATGAGACTTCTCCATACCATCTGCTCAATTTTGCGGTGAACCTGAAACTACTCTAAAACACAAAGTCTAATAAAAGCATATCTAAGCTCATAGTTGCGCCCTTACTTGAATTGTTCCAGGCTGTCCATCTCACCAGAAGACCACACCCCTTCCCACGGGGAGGGGAACAGGGAGGGTGAAGGGAAGTGGGAAGGAGCCCTAATTTTGCACTGAGAACCATGTGCACATGTTGCCTAGCGCAGGTTCATCTTTTTAAATGTACAGAATAGTGTGACTTGTTCAGCTAAGTAAGAGATTAAAGTTAATATAATATGATTCATGTCTTTGTGAAGAAAAATTCAGGGCATCGTCTGAATTCTGTGCACAGTGAAGCACCTGGACACCAGAGGAGAATCACATTTCCTCTCTTCTGTTGTTGGTTGTCTGGGAGAGCTAAGGAGTAGCAAAGGGAAGGGCAACACTGCCAGCTGGTGCCCAGATGGAGAATAAATCAGGCCAAGACCCCCAGCTCAGGTGCAGTCCGAGTGGAAACGTGTGCTTTCCCAGGTTCTGTCACCCCTGGGACTTGAGGGCACACTGCCACGTGGCGTTGAAACCCACTCCAGAGTCTCTCCAGCAAGGTGGGTCCTGCCCCTTGCCCTCGCTGTGCTCTGTGAACACACAGCCGACAGTTCAGCCCCAGCAAGTGCTAGTTCTAGGCCATTTGGTTCTGGGGATGTAGTGAACAAGTCAGATGAAGTCTTTGATCTGTGCAACCTACATCCTACTGGAACAAGCAAACGAGTGACTAGGTAACTTTATTTTTTTAAATTTTATTGGAGTATAGTTGACTTACAATGTTGCATTAGTTTCAGGTGTACAGCAAAGTGATTCGGTTATACACACACATGTGTTCCTTCTTTTTAGATTCTTTTCTCATATAGGTTATCATAGAATACTGAGTAGAGTTCCCTGTGCTCTACAGTAGGTCCTTGTTGGTTTTCTATCTTATATATAGTAGTGTGTGTATGTTCATCCCAAGCTCCTGATTTATCCCTCCCCGCCACGTTTCCCCTTTGGTAACCATAAGTTTGTTTTCAATATCTGTAAGTCTGTTTCTGTTTGGCAAATTAAGTTCATTTAAATCATTTTTTAAAAATTAGATTCCACACATGAGTGATCTCATGTGATATATACCTTTCTCCGTCTGACTCACTTCACTTATTATGATAGTCTCTAGGTCCATCCATGTTGCTGCAAATGGCATTATTTCATTTTTTATGGGTGAGTAGTATTCCATTGTATATATGTACCACAGCTTCTTTACCCATTTCTCTGTTGATGGACTTTTAGGTTGCTTCCATGTCCTGCCTATTGTGAACAGTGCTGCTATGAGCACTGGGATGCATGCACCTTTTCTAACCATGGTTTTCTCTGGATAGATGCCCAGTAGTGGGACTGCTGGATCATACGGTAGTTCTCTTTTTAGTTTTTAAAGGACCCTCCATACTGTTCTCCACAGTGGCTGTACCAACTTACCTTCCCACCAGCAGTGTAGGAGGGGTCCCTTTTCTCCACGCCCTCTCCAGCATTTTGGCAAGTTGTGTGCAGAAAACAAATCGAGGTGAAGGAATAGGTTGTGGCTGGGGGTCTTACTGTCACCTGTGGCCAGAGGAGGACTTTCTGGAAGCAATACTTAAGCTGGCAATCAGAAGACAGCTGAGCACACTCCGTGGGAAGAGTTTCCAGAACGAGGAAGGAGCCTGTGAGAAGTGTCCTCAGTGGGGTGCTGGGAGTGAGGAGTCAGGGAGGTCAAAGAAGGGCCAAGTCCAGACCCAGGGCCTGGGGGAGGCACACCCGAGAGCTTGGATGTTATTCTAAGTGGCATGGAAAGCCACTGGGGGACTTCCCTCGTGGCACAGTGGCTGGGAATCTGCCTGCCAATGCAGGGGACATGGGTTCGAGCCCTGGTCCAGGAAGATCTCACATGCCGCGGAGCAACAAAGCCCGTGCGCCACAACTACTGAGCCTGCACTCTAGAGCCCGCGAGCCACAACTACTGAAGCCCGTGAGCCTCGAGCCCACGCTCCACAACAAGAGAAGCCACCGCAATGAGAAGCCCACGCACTGCAACCAAGAGTCGCCCCCGCTCGCCCCAACTACAGAAAGCCCATACACAGCAACGAAGACCCAGCACAGCCAAACAAAAAAAAGAAAGCCATTGAAGTTGAAGGCAGGGGATCAACATGACTTTTCTAACACTTTTAAAAGATCATTCTGCCTGGATGTGACGAGTCACCAGCAGGGGTAAGCTCACTGCTGGCTCCCAAGGACCAGGAGGGGGACACTGACCAGGGTGGGGAAGGCTTGGGGAAGAGGGAAGATGCGAGCCCCTCTCGGGAGCAGCGCTCCCCAGGGGTGGGCGTTCACTCGGTGACTGATGCCTGGGCCCCGAGGGCCAGGTGTGGGGACAGTTGGCAAGCGTGGTGCCCCGCCAGGGCTGAGACGAGCAGGAAGTGCGGGGCTGGAAGGGCGATGTGCACAGAGGAGTCTGGAGGGAAGCGTTCCTCGGCTGCAAAATCCAACGCTGAACAAGGCACAGAAAGGATAAGCTGGAGCCTCCACAGCCGGCCCTCAGCAGAGCAACACGTGTCCTCTCGCCCACTGGCCAAGCTCCTCGCTGCGGGCTTCCAGCGGTATCATTATACTCACGGGGTTCTGAATATCTATTCACACCCTGCCATTTGATTAAAGCAGCATCTCACTACACCCTGTCTTTTAAAAAATGCATTCCTCTCAAGGGAAGGGCAGCTAAATTTTTCTAAAACAAACTTGGGGAAAGGAGAAGACTGATGACTTTTCCCATTTCCAGTCTCTTATGAGGGCATGAAACAAAGAAGTCATGACTACATTGTCAAGAATTTGGTTTCCAGAACAAAGTTCCATCAAATTATCCTCTGCAGGAAATCAAGGCAATTTCTTGCCTCTGGAAAACTGTACCATAAGCCTCTTTGTCCTTCCTTCATAACTGAAGGGCAACCTTGGGGTGGGGGCACCTCTCCTGCCGCAGAAAGGAAGTGATGGAACGGAACTGCTCCGTGGTGGTTGCTGTCGGCTTGTGCCACCACAAGGAGCACGGGGCTCTGCAAGGGACTCGCACGTGGTGGGAGGTGCTATTGTCTCGGAGAGTGAGGGGACACTTGTCGACCCTTACCACGGCTTCTGATGTGGACGGGTGTCTCCGGAGCCCAGTTTTGGGAAGAGTCTCCTGTGGACGCAGCAGGTGCAGCTGCAGCTTGCCAAACAGGATCTGCAACAAAAGCCATTTCACGTGATGAGCGGGTCCCAGATTTGAGAGGACCTGAACATCACTATAACAGAGTTAAAGCAACCAGCCAGAGGGGACACACCTGACTAGCTGTGACAAAACGCTTAGATTCTGATTCAGTACTTTTCTTAGATGTAAAGGCTTTGAAGTAATGAATCTCAATGTGAAAGACATGAACAAGTTACATACTTTTCAGATGATCACATAAAATAATGTTTATAAAATCAGAATAAATCTCCCTGTAACCCCTGAACAGGAAGTATATTTAATAAAAGAACTGAAATTTAGCTTTACCTCTCGAAGCTGATTACTGCTTGTTATAAGAAACTGTTCTCCTGCAACAAAATGGGCTTCTTGCTCCAGTTCCTTGAGACGAGACTATGAATGTGACAGACACAGTGTTATTAATAGTTTTCACAACTTAAGATTATTTTTCTCAACATGAGATCTTGCAAGAATAAAAAATAATCTAAAATTTACCAAAATGGACATTACAAAATACATATTTTGACTCATGATGCAATACTCAGGCTCAGAATCGCTCTCTTAAGCACAGTGGACCCAAGGAAACAAACTTAAAGAAGTAAAAATAGTAAATAACACACCAAAATGAAGGAGGGAAAGAAGAAGGAATTCTCCAGCAACATTATGACAAGTAAACGGATCCAGCATCAAACCATAAACCTCAAAACTTCCAAAGTATCCCAAGGCAGAAGAGCTAGGACCAAACTGCATGGTGACCCCAGTGATCATGATGCAGGACATTCCCTCCCAACAGAGGAGCAGCTGCAGCGGAAACAAGCAACAACGCTCTGAACAACCACACAAACTGGGGCACAGCCCAGGGCGAGGGGTGGGCGGCATGCAAGGCCCAGGTGGGAAAAGACAAGGCACCTTACGAAACAGCTGATAAATACGGTGCTGAGCAGAGCAGTAGGACATGCTGAATTTATGAACCCCTCACCCCCTCACCATTTTGGTCAGAAGAAAAGTAGAACATGACCAGGACTTTAAAAAAATTATTATAGGGACTTCCCTGGTGGCGCAGTGGTTAAGAATCCACCTGCCAATGCAGGGGACATGGGTTTGAGCCCTGGTCTGGGAAGATCCCACATGCCGCGGAGCAACTAAGCCCATGAGCCACAACTACTGAGCCCACAAACCACAACTACTGAAGTCCACGCACCTAGAACCCGTGCTCCAAAACAAGAGAAGCCACAGCAATGAGAAGCCCATGCACCACAACAAAGAGTAGCCCCTGCTCACTGCAACTAGAGAAAGCTCGCATGCAGCAACGAAGACCCAATGCAGCCAAAAATAAATAGATAGATTTACATATTTAAAAAAATATTATAAAAGAAAAGAGAGAGCAGAGTGTAAATCAACCAACTCTGAGGAAATGTCATCTGCACTCTACAAGAACTGCCTTTCGGCTGAAACACTGAAAGACGCTTACAAATAGGAGCAGGACAAGTATGATACAAAAAGCTAGCACTAGGCAAAAAGAAGAACCCACAGACAATGCCCTCAGTTAAGGTATGCCAGAATTCTATAGTCAAGGGGACAAATGATGAAAAGAAAAACAAGGAACAAAGCATGAAAAAACAGATAATGGGGACTTCCCTGGTGGTCCAGTGGCTAAGACTCCGCACTCCCAATGAGGGTGCACGGGTTTGATCCCTGGTCAGGGAACTAGATCCCACATGCCGCAACTAAGAATTCGCGTGCTGCAACTAAGGAGCCCACCTGCTGCAACTAAGACCTGGCACAACCAAATAAATAAATAAAATATTTTTTTAATGTGTTAAGTGGCTTTTTCTTATTCACAGGAGTTATCTACAGAGTCTGCATATGAGTCTTTTATCACACGCATTGAAAGTACAATCAAAATCCCAGCTGGTTTTTAAAAAGTAGATCAGAGAATTTTATATGGAAATGCGAAGAACCTGGATTGATAAATACCATGTGGAAGAACAAAGATGGAAGACTGTAGGATATCAAGACATATTATAAGCCTACAGTAACTAAGCCAGGGGAGTAGTAGCACAGGGACACACACACAAAACAAAAAAACAGAAAAGAGTCCAGAAAAAACCCTACACGTACACAGTGACCTGATTTATGACAAAGACACTACTGTAATTCTTAGTGCAGGAAACAGTGGCACTTTTAATAAATTGTGCTTAACTGAATGGAAATCCATCTGGGAAAAATCTTAACTGTACTTTATACCATGCAGAAAAATTAATTTGAAGTGGAGGATAGGCTTAAAATAATACAGCTTATACAAGAAAACACAGGAGAATATCTTTACTAGAGGTCAGACAAAGAGTACCTAGCACACAAAAATTCTCAAACATTTAAGAAATGGTTCATTGGACTTCATGAAAATGAAGAAATTCCGTTCATCAAAGGACATAGCTATTGAGAGAGTAAAAAGACAAGCTGTAGACAAAGACAGGGCCAGACAGTAAATACTTCAGACTCTATGGGTCACATATGGTCTCTGTCACATATTCTTCTCTACTTTTGTTTGTTTTTTAAAAATTGTAACAACCACTCTTAATTTCAGGCCATATGAAAACAGGCCACAGGATGGATTTGGCCTATAGACCACTGTTTGTCAAACCCTGGACTGGGAGAAAGTACTTTCAATATATCTTACAAAGGACCCACATACAGAATATATAAACAATTCCTATAAGTAAATAAGAAAAAGCTGACATAAACTTTTAAATAGGCAAGTTCTTTGAAAAATTGGATCACAAAAAGAATATATCCAAAATACCATCAAGCATATGAAAAGGTGCTCACTATTATTACTTATCAGGGAAATGCAAATTAACTCCACAATGAAATGCGACTACAGACCCACCAGGATAGCTAAAGTGAAAAAGACTGACAGTACTGCGCTGGTGGGGATGTAGCAAGTGGGACTAGAAAATGTTACAACCAATTTGAAGGGCTATTTGGAAGTACCTACTATCGCTAAATGTACGCATACGCTGTAACCCAGCAATTCCACTTCTGGAGAGAAAACGAAGAGACAAGAGCTCTCTTATCCACCACAGGTTATAGTTACACCACATGAATAGTCGCAGCCACTGCGACCACAGTGCCCAACAATGGGAGCGGGTGTAAGGAAAGTATGGCACCTTCTTACAATAGGTGCTACAAGCAATTTTTATTGGCATGCACTTCTGCTACATTCAACCAAATTGGTGAATCCCACAGATAGAATGTGAGCAAAAGGAGCCAGAAGCAAAGAGCCCATGCTGTGTGGTTTACATGAAGCTCAGAATCACCAAGGACAGGGTCAGATGAATGGCAATCTGGGGGTACAGACTGGGAGGGGACAGGAAGGAGACTTCCGGGTGCTGGAAATATTCTATACCTTGATCTGGATGGAGGTTACATGGATGTGTACATATATAAAAATACGTCAAGCTGTACACTTAAGATTTGTACCAAGCAGATTCAGAGAAGATGGCAGAGTAGGAGGCACCTGTGAGGTGAGCCTCCATCTCCCACCTGGACAGCAACTGCAGGGGAAGAACCCTCTGATGTAACCGTCTGGGAACTCTGGAGTCTGCTGATGGCTTCCAGGGGAAGCCTTGGATGGTAAACCGCAGTTCATTTTGGTCAGTTTCAGCTCTCGGTACCATAGAAGCTACCCACCCCACCTCCCCCAGACAGGAGGCCCGAGGCCAGGAGGCCATGCACCTGTTTCTGGAGCAGCCTGCCCACAGCCTGCAGGAACCGGTGGGGCAAAAAAGACCCTGTACAGATATTGGGGGCCTCTGCTCTGGTCACTGGTTGCTGCTTCTGGTCACAGAGGTGCAGATGAACGGGCCCGCAGCCATTGCTGTTGCACCTCCCCCATTGTTGCAAGACCCTCCCCCTCCAGCTGAAGTGACTTCCAGGGGACTTAAAGGGCTAGTGCCTTTTTTAACCCCTCTGCATTTTTTGCTTTTTCTCCTTTGAAGCCAGATATTAAAGACAAGGACATTCAAAAATAACCTCACATACATGGGGAAAATTAGAAAGTGACCGTGCATGCCAAGGAAAAGGCTCAGAAAAGAACTGTGAAGACCTTAGGTTTACACTTTAGGTTGATCCTCAACACAGAGACAACCTACAGCAAATTAAAAAACCCAAGACGATAAACAGAAACAATAACACACAGAAAGAGCAAACTGTGGGAAAGGAGAGAATCTGATTTCCAGAGTTACCACATTATTAGATCCAAATGTCCAATGTTCAACAAAAATATCACAAGACAAACACAGAAACAGGAAAATATGGTGTATTCAAAGGAAAAAAAAACAAAACAGAAACTATCACTGAAAAAAAAGACCTAATGGCAGATATATACCAGACACCGTTAAAACAACCATCTTAAAGATGCTCAAAGAACTAAAGAAAGGTGTGAAGAAAGTCAAGAAAACAATGTGTGAACAAAATAGAAATATTAATAAAGAGACAGAAAATGTAAAAAGAAACTAAAAAAGAAATTTTTGGAGCTGAAAAGTATGATAATTGAAATTAAAAAGTCACTTGAGGGTTCAAAGGGAGATTTGAGCAGGCAGAAGAAAGAATCAGTGAACTTGAAGAGAGAATAATGAAAATTATTGAGGCTGAGGAGCAGAAAGAAAAAAATATTGAAGAAAAGTGAACAGAGCTTAAGGGTCCTGTGGGACACCATCAAGCAGACAAATACACACACTGTGGGAGCCCCAGAAGGAGAAGAGAAAGAAAAGGATAGCAAGAATATTTGAAGATATAATAGCTGAAAACCCCTCAAAAATTTTTTTACATCTTTATTGGAGTATAACTGCTTTACAATGTTCTGTTAGTTTCTGCTGTATAACGAAGTGAATCAGCTATATGTATCCATATATCCCCCATGCCCTCCTTCTTTTTTTAAATAAATTTATTTGTTTGTTTATTTATTTTTGGCTGTGTGGGGTCTTTGTTGCTGTGCGCAGGCTTTCTCTAGTTGTGCGAGTGGGGGCTACTCTTTGTTGTGGTGAACAGGATTCTAATCGTGGTGGCTTCTCTTGTTGCGGAGCACGGGCTCTAGGTGCAGAGGCTTCAGTAGTTGTGGCTCACCGGCTCTAAAGTGCAGGCTCAGTAGTTGCGGTGCATGGGCTTAGTTGCTCTGTGGCATGTGGGATCTTCTCATACCAGGGCTTGAACCCGTGTCCCCTGCATTGGCAGGCGGATTCTTAACTACTGCGCCACCAGGGAAGTGCCCTCCCTCTTGAGCCTCCCTCCCACCCTCCCTATCCCACCCTTCTAGGTGGTCACAAAGCACCAAGCTGACCTCCCTGTGCTACGCAGCTCCTTCCCACTAGCTACCTATTTCTTGCTGTGGTTTATGTCATAGAGTGTTCTGCCTATGTTTTCTTCTAAGAGTTTTATAGTGTCTGGCCTTAACCCATTTTGAATTTATTTTTGTGTATGGTATTAGAGAGTGTTCTAATTTCATTCTTTTACATGTAGCTGTTCAGTTTTCCCAGCACCACTTATTGAAGAGGCTGTCTTTTCCCCACTGTATATTCTTGCCTCCTTTGTCAAAGATAAAGTGACCATATGTGTGTGGGTTTATCTCTGGGCTTTCTATCCTGTTCCATTGATCTATATTTCTGTTTTTGTGCCAGTACCATACTGTCTTGATTACTGTAGCTTTGTAGTATAGTCTGAAGTCAGGGAGCCTGATTCTTCCAGCTCCGTTTTTCTTTCTCAAGATGGCTTTGGCTATTTGGGGTCTTCTGTGTTTCCATACAAATTGTAAACTTCTTTGTTCTAATTCTGTGAAAAATGCCCTTGGTAGTTTGATAGGGATTGCATTGAATCTGTAGATTGCTTTGGGTAGTATAGTCATTTTCACAATGTTGATTCTTCCAATCCAAGAACATGTTATATCTCTCCAACTGTTTGTGTCATCTTTGATTTCTTTCATCAGTGTCTTATAATTTTCTGCATACAGGTCTTTTGTCTCCTTAGGTAGGTTTATTCCTAGGTATTTTATTCTTTTTGTTGCAATGGTAAATGGGGGTGTTTCCTTAATTTCTCTTTCAGAATTTTCATCATTAGTGTATAGGAATGCAAGAGATTTCTGTGCATTAATTTTTTATCCTGCTACTTTACAAAATCCATTGATTAGCTCTAGTAGTTTTCTGGTAGAATCTTTAGAAAACTAAAGATGAAAACTCCTCAAATTTGATGAAATACATGAATACAAACATCGAAGAAGCTCAAAAACTTCAAGTAAGATGAACTCAAAGAGATGAACATGAAGACATAATATGATCAAACTTTCAAAAGACAATGACAAAAGAGAATTTTGAAAGCAACGAGAGAAAAGTGTCATCACATACAAGGGATCCTCAATAAGATTATCCTCAGATTTCTCATCAGAGACATTGGAGGCCAGAAGACAGTCGGTTAATATATTCAAAGTGCTAAAAGAAAAAACTGTAAACCCAAAATCCTTATCTGGCAAAACTGTCCTCCAAGAGTGAGAGAGAAATTAAGACATTCCCAGATAAACAAAAGCTGAGGGAGATGTGAACACTACACCTGCCCTGGAAGAAATGCTCAAAGAAGTCCTGCAAGGTGAAATGAAAGGACACTATACAGTAACCTAAAGCCAAATGAAGAAATAATGATCTCAATAAAGGTAAATACGTGAATTATAAAAGCCAGTATTATAACAATTTGTAACTATACTTTTTGTTTTCTATATGATTTAAGAAAAAAACAATTATGAGTATAAAAGCTAGTAGTACTGTAACTTTAGTTTGTGACTCCAAATCTTCCTTTCTACATAATTTTAAAAAATTATTAGTTTACATTTTGGGACCCACAATGTATAAAGATGTAATTTTGTGACATGAATAACTGGAAGTGGGGGGACAGAGCTGTAAAAGAGCACAGTTTTTGTATGTCATTGAAGTTAAGCTCATATAAATTCAAATTAGAGTGTTATAACTTTAGGGTGTTAGATGTCATCCCCATGGTAACCACAAAGAAAAAACTATAGAATATATACAAAAGGAAATGAGAAAGGAATTTAAACATTTCTACAAGAAATCAACTAAACACAAAGGAAGACAGTAATGCAGGAAATGAAGGACAAAAAAGCTATAAGGCATATAGAAAACAAATAGCAAAATGATAGAAGTCCTTCCTTATCAGTAATTAATTAAATGTAAATGGATTAACTCTCCAATTGAAAGACAGAGATTGGCAGAATGGATAAAAAACCATGGTCCAACTATATGCTGTCTGCAAGAGACTCACTTTAAATTCAAAGAGACAAACAGGTTGAAATTGAAAGGATGGAAAAAGATATTCCATCCAAATATTAATGAAAACAGAACAGGGATGGCTGTATTAATATCAGACAAAATAGAACTTAAATAAAAACTGGTTACAAGAGACAAAGGATGACATTATATTTTCAATACAGCAAGGAGATATAATATAAGCATTTACATACCTAATGACAGACCATTAAAATATATGAAGAAAAACTAACAGAAATGAAGGGAGAAATGGATAGTTCTACAGTAATAGTTGGGGACTTGAATACCTCACTCATGATAATGGATAGAACAACCAAACAGAAGGTAAGTAAGGAAATAAGAACTTAAGCAATGATAAACCAACTAGAGCTAACAGACATGTACATAACACTCTACCCAACAATAACATGCGCATGGGATATTCTTCTCAAGTGAACATGGGATGTTTTCCAAAATAGACTACATGTTAGGCCACTAATTAAGTCTCAAGAGATTTTAAAAGACAAATATCATAGAAAGTATCTTCTCTGACCACAGCAAGTTCAAGTTAGAAATCAATAACAAAAGGAAAACTAGAAAATTCACAAAATTGTATAAATTAAACAACACACTTTTAAACAACCAAAAGATCAAAGAAGAAATAAAAAGCAAATTTAGAAATTATTTAGAGATGAATGAAAACAAAACCACAACATACCTGCATATGGGATGCAGCAAAAGCAGTGCGAAGGAGGAAATTTATAGCTATAAATGCTTATATTAAAAAACAAGAAAAATATGAACTCAATAACCTCACTTCACAACTTAAGGAACTAGAAAGAGAACAGACTAAACCCAAAGATAGCAGAGGAAGGACATAATAAACATGAGAGCAGAGTTAAATGAAATCGAGAATATAAAAACAATAAAGAAAATCAATGAAACCAAAATTTGGTTCTTTGAAAAGATCAACAAAATTGACAAACCTTTAGCTAGCTAGACTAAGGAAAAAAGAAAAGGCTCAAATTACAAGTCAGAAATTTAAGTGAAAAATATTATTATCAGGGAATTTCCTGGCAGTCCAGTGTTTAGGGCTCCGCACTTTCACTGCCAAGGGCCTGGGTTCAATCCCTAGACAGGGAACTAATCCCACAAGCCTCACAGTGAGGCCAAAAAAAAAAAAAAAAGAAATTACTATCAATTTTACAGAAATAAAAAGGATTATCAGAGAGAACTATGAACAACTGTACACCAGCAGAATGGATAACCTAGATGAAACTTTGATTTTGCTTCTTTAAAGAATCCAAGAAATGTCACCAACTACAAGGGGCAATGTCAGTGGGTATCCATTAAACCATGCACACATCCACATGGAGAGTACCCAGATGTGACGCTTGTTTCAATCCTTTCAAAGCGTGGTACTCCCCTGCAGGAGTCAGAGATAGGAGGAACAGTGCCAACATCAGTCTGGGACAAACAAGGAAGGGAAGAAAAGGAAAGTCACCCGAGAACTGACAAGGGGACCAACTCATCAGACAGGAGAGAGCTAACACATGTAAACAGTCTGACAGAAGAATGTACCCCAAGAAGTGCTGAAGTCCTCTTCATCTCTTCCTTGTTCACCTGAATGCTGTGGCTTTCCATCACTGTGATTCAAAACCAAAGCAGATAAAAATCTGTACTGCAGCAACAAATCATTTCTGAGAAAGACTGCAGCGCCAGGAGCAAGCCTCATCCCCCGATGAGGACCAAGATGACAGTGCGAGCTCGGCAGCGTCCATGAGGGTCAGTACTGGAGCCCAGCAATGGTGGCAGTGGGCATGGGGACACTCTGGATGGAGAGTCACCTCCGGCCACTCAGCTGCCATGCTGGGCGAGGCTCTGCTCTCCCAGGTGCCCAGCAGGACAGGGCGGGTCAGGGGCTAAGAGCAAAGGCAGAACAGAGCCTGCAACAGTGCTTGCAGGGGGTTCTCACGAAGCAGAAGGGCCCATCACACCAGGACCAGGACAAGTGCTGACCTGGAAAACATCCAGACAGGCCTCCTCCCCCCACCACTGCTCTCAGGGCTGTGGGAGTCCGGCAGGACGCCTGCAGAACAGGCAGTACAGAAGCGATACCACGTGACCCAGATGTTAGAACCTTAGAGTCCTTCTAGCCCAAGAGGTGATGCGGTCCAATCCCTCTTGTTAGAGAAAGGGAAAGTTAAGGGCTCACTACCCCTTCAGTGCCCATATGATGCACTGCCCACCCCAAACTAAGTCAAGAGAAAACAGTCTTCCCAAAAGGTACAAAGAACTCTCTAGAAGGATGACTGGGCATCATCTTTAGGGTACCTTACCTGCCAAAATTGGTATCAGAGGAAGCTCCAAAGTACAAAACAGTTGCCATAAACCGTAAACCTGTTTCATAGGAAGAAATGACATCAGTGTTACTTTTAAACTATTATTTCTACCTGAGTTTGCTGAACAGCCTACTTAATTTCATTGAGCAACTCCTCTGGTGGGCATGGTTGGTTCCCCTATCCTCCTTCCTAATAAAATCCCTATTTTTGTCAAGTATCCTATTTTATTACCAAGCCCTAGTAGAGATATTCAGGAATACCTGGTAGGACAAGTCCCACTCCCACTTTTCTTTCATCTTTCTTATTTTTAAGTGTGATTTAGGTATTTGTGGACTTTTAGTCTCCCATTTTAATTTCAAAATAGGTTTTCTGAATTCCCAAAACTTTAGAATTTTCCTTGATTTTGCACAGACTTTATAAATTAACATGGGGAGACGTGTACCACCACCTTCATCTACTCGGATCACCTCCCACGCTCTTTATCAGGGTTTCCATCTGAGAGCCCTCTGCCTCATCTGTCCTTCTGCTGTGCCCTCACCTTCTCGGCTGCCCCTAGGACCCATCCTCTGTCCTGCTCTTGACCCTGGAAGAAGGGTAGATGCCCTCCAGGCCACATCAGCCGGGCTGGTTCCCTGCCCTTGGGCTGGTTTTGCCCATTCAGGGGCAGGAGGAGAGGGAAGCGGGTTTCCCCTGCGCCAGCCCACAGTGCACTTCTGGCCCCAGTCCGTGGCCTGCAGCCACCACTTCTGGCACCCAGCTCCTGGCCAGCAGCCCCCTGCAGGGCCACTGCTTTCCCAGGGTCCCTGTAACAGCCCGCCCTTTGAGCCCAGGGGTGGAAAGCTTCCAGCCAGTGCCTGCCCTGCAGACTTCTCCGTCCCTTCTGGCCCCCCGACTCCTGCCCTGCCTGTGGTTCACAGCGCCTTCACTCAACCCTTCCTGACAGGTCCTTCAAATGACCTCTGCTTCCCAATGAGACTGAGTGGAGCTGTGTCCATCACTACTAACTGAAATAAACTCTTAGCTTTTACGTTAACTGCAGAGTTAGAGACATTCCAATTGAATTGAGTCTTTAAAAAAATGTTACAATTGTTGTCAACCTATAGAAAACATTTAAAAAATTTCAGGTCTTATCATCTGGACTGCCCTTCTATGAGTGATGCGCAGGTTCACTTGGCCTCAGAACCCCGTTTCCTGCACAAAGACACTGAGGGTACTGTTTCCTGTGAGCATGGTTGCGAATGAAAGACAGCCCTTGGACAGTGAAGTTACAATGAAATGCCTTGCCTTGAGCTGGGAACAAAGGCCCATCGTAAGTCTGTAGAGCACCCTCAGGTTCGCATGTACATTCTGATTCTTTAAAAGATCAAAAGAATTCAACATTAGGCACATTTGGCAGCAACGTTCATCACAATCTAGGAAGCGGCAGTGTTTCCTCGGCAGAGAGCACACGTCTGGTGCCGCCACCCATCGCCTCAAAGCAGAGCAGTTCCCACACTTCGGAAGATACTTTTCAGGCAAATTCAAGCTACCTATTGCTTTCTTACTTTCTCCCCAACCCAGTTTTCCTCATTTTACAGGAAATGACCCACAAAGGAGCTAAGTGCCCAAGGTGCAAAGATCGCGCATGGTGGTAGAGACAGACCTGGCCCCTCGGCTTGCCCCTCTACTCACCGTGGGCGTCTGGGAGCCTGTGCCTCGCCCACACTCATCGCCGGTCCCCGTCCCAGACACACACAGAGACCCTGGGAGGTGGGCCAACAGGGTCTGTGTCCAGCTGACCAGGAGGGCGGTGGTGAGCCGCGGCCCCGACAGTCAGTCGAATTCTGCCCCCCTGCGCAGAGCCCTGCGTCCCTACTGCACCCCTCCTGCTGCCACACGGCCCCCCAGACTCCAGGCGCCCGGCCTCAGTTTAGAGACACACACACCGCCACCCCCGCCACGATGATCGGCGGCTGGCTGTGCACCTCGCGTTTGTCTTGCCGCCATCCCGGGTCTTGGCTCTCCCGGGAACCACTAGCTGGGAGGCACCACGAACACGTCCACGTGAACGCGTCGGCTGTGACCGGCAGACGGCCACCGCCCTGCTGCCTGAACGCGCCTCCCCGACGGCAGCGCTGAGCCGCGAGGCTTCCCTAGGACGGCTCGCACTCGGTGGCGGAGCTCCGGCCCCTCGCGGCTCAGCCCGGCCGCAGCTCGTCTCCCCACGGTCGTCATCTTCCTTCTCGCCATCCGAGGTCTCCCGCCTCCCCGACAGGAGCCACACTCTCATGAGTCCTCACTGCTTCCCTGCTGCTCCTTGACCCGGACCGCGCTTTCCTTTCCCCTCCTTTCATACCACTGCTCCAGGGCAGCAGGAGACCCTGCGGAGCAGCGGGCCGCCTTCCACCTCCAGCAGACGCATTGCTGCCCTGTTTAACAAGACACGAGCGGAAGTTCATCCCAGGCAGCCTCCTTCCCGCCTGGCGTGTGGAGGAGGGCCTCGGGCGAAGCTTCCCGGTGGGACCATAAGGCAACGGTGCGCGGGGAGCGACTGAGTCGCACAGCTCTGGGAGCAGCTGCTCGGCCTGGGTGAGGGGCTCCAACTTCTCGCCAGGGAGAAAACACACCCGCTGGAGCTGGTGCTTTGTTCCGTGCAACCACTCCCATCCCTAACTTGCACGTGTGTATACTGGAAAGAAATTATACTTTAGAGTCAGAAATCCAAACTCTGAACTGAACCATGACCTTGGGCAAGGTGCGTGTACATGCACCCTTCTGCACCTGGGTTCTCCTCTGTAAACCTGGGCTAACACAGAGGCGGACAGCTCCCTCCTTCAGCAATGATATCTCGGCTTGTGTCAGGGGAAGTTCCCACTCCAGCAGCATGGATCTGGGGAGACTGCCAATCTCCACACCCTGCCTGTCCTGCCGAGGGGTGGACACGTGACACAGTCGTGGAAAGGAGACTCTAAGTGCTAAAACTTTGAATCTTGGACAAAAGTGACGTGTAGAGAAAATGATCACAGCTCATTGCTGGCCCCCGGTCCGTGGGCTCCTGCTGCCTGGGTCTCCAGACCCGCCTGACGCCTGTCTTCCCAAAGCCTGGTTCTGCTTTTCCTCTGAGGCTCTGAGCTACCCCACATTCCTCTGACAAATCTCTTTTTAAATTAAGGGAGACTGAGTTTCTGTATTTCCAACCCCAAGCCTCTATCTGACACAGATCCCTCCTCAACTGAGGGTCTGTAGGATCAAGCACCCCAAGCAGCGACCAGCCCCAGCTCAGCCCCGGCACGCAGGGCAGGCTCACATGGCCTCCTGTGTGGCCTTCTAGTCGTGCTTTTAACATGTGCCTGTTAACTTACACCCGGGAAGTCTGAACAGAGTGGCCTGATGGTGGCCGGTGCTGCTCCCGCTGGGACGCCTCCTCTGGCCCTGTTGTGCGGCCATGTCAAGTCTCCCTGTTGCTGGGCTCCGGGCAGGTTCCAGAGCTGCAAGCACCCGTGCTTCTCCAGACAGTGGTTCCTAACAACTGGGTGCATCTTGAAAGAGGGGGTCAGAGAGACAGACCTGGGCAGTCTTACAATTCTCCCCGCTGGGACTGAGGAGAGGCCTTCCCAGGCCTCGGCCACAGCAGCTGTGTCACCAGCATGAAGAATTTATAAACAAGCAGCTCTCTGCTCACAGAGCTGGCGACTGTCTGACACAAAGAATCCATTTAGAAGAACCACTCTTCGGATGGCACCTCCCAGGAACAGTTGACAGAAATCACCCATCTTTATTCAGTATCCTCTATCAGAAATGTCAGGGTAAACAGCATTTCTGCTGATTAAGTAAAAATGAATGTCAGCAATGTTCTTTTTACTACTGGACTGTCTATGAAGTAGAAGAAGTTCCTAGAGGAAAATTTGGGTTGTATTAAGGTTGATAAACCTTATCTTAAAACAACTCACCACAGTCGTTCTTGAGGAATTTCCATATGTGCTGTTCACCTTAACTGTGATGGAGTTTCCAAAGTATTTTGCCACTATATCTTCAAAAGAGGGTGCAGCATCAGTAGGATCTATAAGCCATGCAGCAATTCTGGGATCTAGCCCTACAAAATCAGCAACTACAGAGAAAAAGATCATTTAATCATTCTAAGAAAAATGAATAGTTATATTTTCCCTGCTTTAACAAGGTTCTCAAGGTTCAAATTAATAATTATGGTACTACCATCCCCTCAAATCACAGACCTAAGTACCAAAGTGATGCTCCCTCACTCCTAAAGAATGCTGAGCCTTTGATAAGAGTGGCCCCCACAAACCGGGTCCCACACAGCCAATCTCCATGGGGAATCCATCCCAAAGTAACTCTCTCAAAAATGTTGAAAGAGACAAAAGTCAGAATCCTCAGCCACACCCTTGCCTTCTCTTCCCAACTTTTCTCCCTGCTCTGGAGCCTCTCTCTGCCCCACACACCTCTCTTTTCAACCACACATGTCCCCGTGTCCACTCTTTCCAAGCCTCCCCTCCTCCACCCTCCTGCTGGGCTGCCTCCCAGGCCACGCCTAACCCTGCATCGGAGTGTCAGGAAAAAAGTCTCTCGAGTGAAGGGGGAGCGGTGGAGCCGCCTGAGCACACGGTGGCTGGTGGGCAGTGTACGCGAGGATGAAGATACCGGACATTCTGTTCAGTCACCCTGAGGTGAGGAAACCCTGTGAGACAGCTCATGTGCTGCACCGTGATGTGTGAAAAGAGTGGTGGTAGAAGGCTGCCCGTGAGCCTGGGAGGCCACATCACCCCTTAAGTGTAGTTTTCTTGTCTGAAAACTGGGAGAAAAATCACTGTAAGTATCCATGGGACACATATGAAGGTGCTTTTCAAAAAATAAAAGTGATGGGGACTTCCCTGGTGGCACAGTGGATAAGACTCCATGCTCCCAATGCAGGGGGCCCGGGTTCAATCCCTGGTCAGGGATCTAGATCCCACATGCATGCCGCAACTAAGAAGCCCATGAGCCGCAACTAAGGAGCTGGCAAGCTGCAACTAAGGAGCCCGCCTGCCGCAACTGAGCCCACAAGCCATAACTAAGGAGCCCGCTGCTGCAACTAAGACCTGGTGCAACCAAATTAAAAAAAAAAAAAAAGAGCCCTATAAGAGTATGTCCTACTATTATTAAAAAAATAAAATAAAGTGATATTTGCTAAATACATTTTAGTACCAGAGTATTTTAGACATGGAGAGGACTTATAAAAGGATGGGGAGACTGATAAATTAAGACGTAAGTCTGAATCCTAAGTGACTGCTTTCTGAAGTTACTTTAACATTTTGAAGTGTGATTTACAAGGACTCTGCCTTTAAATAAAACTGTAATCTTAGATTACATCACACTAAATATATTTTCTGGCACCTTTAAATCATAGTAGTCTAAGAGATTTATATTTACCAAAGCAGCCAGTATCATCACTTTTTTGTTTGATGCGTGGGACGTCTCCTATGTTGGCAGATATGGAACTTGGGTTGACAGGGAGTCTGTATGCACTCTGGCTACTTGCCGCCCAAATCAGCCGTCATGACTTCATGTAACCATGTCTGCCAACACTGACCGAGCCAGACTATTTCATTCTACTTGCCTTTTCAAAGCTGTTATGTTCCAAAATTAAGGGCTCTTACCAACTTTTTAATTATAATTTACTTTTTTAAAAACATTTTTTTTTTTTTTTTGCGGCACGCGGGCCTCTCACTGTTGTGGCCTCTCCTGTTGCGGAGCACAGGCTCCGGATGTGCAGGCTCAGTGGCCATGGCTCACGGGCCTAGCCGCTCCACGGCATGTGGGATCTTCCCGGCCCAGGGCACGAACCTGTGTCCCCTGCATAGGCAAGCGTACCCTCAACCACTGCGCCACCAGGGAAGCCCTAAAAACATTTTTATTGGAGTATAATTGCTTTACATTGTTGTGTTAGTCGCTGCTGTATAACAAAGTGAATCAGCTGTACATATAGATATATCCCCATATCCCCTCCCTCTTACATCCCCCTCCCACCCTCCCTATCTCACCCCTCTTGGTGGTCACAGAGCACCAGCTGATCTCCCTGTGCTGTGCGGCTGCTTCCCACCAGCTATTTTACATCTGGTAGTGTATATATGTCAATGCCACTCTCTCACTTTGTCCCAGCTTACCCTTCCCCCTCCCTGTATCCTCAAGTCCATTCTCTAATTCTGCGTCTTTATTCCTGTCTGCCCCTTGGTTCTTCAGAACCTTTTTTAAAAAAATTATTCCATAAAAAAAAAAAAAAAATTATTCCATATATGTGTTAGCATAGGGTATTTGTTTTCTCTTTCTGACTTACTTCATTCTGTATGACAGACTCAAGGTCCATCCACCTCACTACAAATAACTCAATTTCATTTCTTTTTTTTTTTTTTTTTTTTGCGGTACGTGGGCCCCTCACTGTTGTGGCCTCTCCCGTTGCAGAGCACAGGCTCCGGACGCGCAGGCTCAGCAGCCATGGCTCACGGGCCCAGCCACTCTGCGGCATGTGGGATCTTCCCAACCGGGGCATGAACCCGTGCCCCCTGCATCGGCAGGCGGACTCTCAACCACTGCGCCACCAGGGATGCCCAATTACATTTCTTTTTATGGCTGAGTAATATTCCATTGTATATATGTGCCAGTCTTCTTTATCCATTCATCTGTCGATGGACACTTAAGTTGCTTCCATGTCCTGCCTATTGTAAATAGTGCTGCAGTGAACATTGGGGTACATGTCTCTTTTTGAATTATGGTTTTCTCAGGGTATATGCCCAGTAGTGGGACTGCTGGGTCATATGGTAGTTCTATTTTTACTTTTATAAGGAACCTCCGTACTGTTCTCCGTAGTGGCTGTATCAATTTACATTCCCACCAACAATGCAGGAGGGTTCCCTTTTCTCCACACCCTCTCCAGCATTTATTGTTTGTAGATTTTTTGCTAATGGCCATTCTGACTGGTGTGAGGTGATACCTCATTGTAGTTTTGATTTGCATTTCTCTAATGATTAGTGATGTTGAGCATCCTTTCATGTGTTTGTTGGCAATCTGTATGTCTTCTTTGGAGAAATGTCTGTTTAGGTCTTCCACCCATTTTGGGACTGGGTTGTTTGTTTTTTTGCTATTGAGCTGCATGAGCTGCTTGTATATTTTGAAGATTAATCCTTTGTCAGTTGCTTCATTTGCAAATGTTTTCTCCCATTCTGAGGGTTGTCTTTTCACCTTGTGTATGGTTTCCTTTGCTGTGCAAAAGCTTTGAAGTTTCATTAGGTCCCATTTGTTTATTTTTGTTTTTATTTCCATTTCTCTAGGAGGTGGGTCAAAAAGGATCTTGCTGTGATTTATGTCATAGAGTGTTCTGCCTATGTTTTCCTCTAAGAGTTTGATAGTGTCTGGCCTTACATTTAGGTCTTTAATCCATTTTGAATTTATCTTTCTGTATGGTGTTAGGGAGTGTTCTAATTTCATTCTTTTACATGTAGCTGTCCCGCTTTCCCAGCACCACTTATTGAAGAGGCTGTCTTTTCTCCATTGTATATCCTTGCCTCCTTTATCAAAGATAAAGTGACCATATGTGTGTGGGTTTATCTCTGGGCTTTCTATCCTGTTCCAT